GAGGGACGGAGGAAGAGTGAGATAGAGGGAGGGACGGAGGAAGAGTAAGATAGAGGGAGGGACGGAGGAAGAGTAAGATAGAGGGAGGGACGGAGGAAGAGTAAGATAGAGGGAGGGACGGAGGAAGAGTAAGATAGAGGGAGGGAAGGAGGAATAGTAAGATAGAGGGAGGGACGGAGGAAGAGTGAGATAGAGGGAGGGACGGAGGAAGAGTAAGATAGAGGGAGGGACGGAGGAAGAGTAAGATAGAGGGAGGGACGGAGGAAGAGTAAGATAGAGGGAGGGACGGAGGAAGAGTAAGATAGAGGGAGGGAAGGAGGAATAGTAAGATAGAGGGAGGGACGGAGGAAGAGTGAGTAGAGGGAGGGACGAGGAAGAGTGAGATAGAGGGAGGGAACGGAGGAAGAGTAAGATAGAGGGAGGGACGGAGGAAGAGTGAGATAGGGGAGGGACGAAGGAAGAGTAGATAGGGGAGGGAAGAAGAAGAGTAGTAGAGGGAGGACGGAGGAAGAGTAAGATAGAGGGAGGGACGGAGGAAGAGTAAGATAGAGGGAGGGAAGGAGGAAGAGTAAGATAGAGGGAGGGAAGGAGGAAGAGTGAGATAGAGGGAGGGACGGAGGAAGAGTAAGATAGAGGGAGGGACGGAGGAAGAGTAAGATAGAGGGAGGGAAGGAGGAAGAGTAGATAGAGGGAGGGAAGGAGGAAGAGTAGATAGAGGGAGGGACGGAGGAAGAGTGAGATAGAGGGAGGGACGGAGGGAGAGTAAGATGGAGGGAGGGACGGAGGAAGAGTAAGATAGAGGGAGGGACGGAGGAAGAGTAAGATAGAGGGAGGGACGGAGGAAGAGTGAGATAGAGGGAGGGACGGAGGAAGAGTAAGATAGAGGGAGGGACGGAGGAAGAGTAAGATAGAGGGAGGGACGGAGGAATAGTAAGATAGAGGGAGGGACGGAGGAAGAGTAAGATAGAGGGAGGGAAGGAGGAAGAGTAAGATAGAGGGAGGGACGGAGGAAGAGTAAGATAGAGGGAGAGTAAGATGGAGGGACGGAGGAAGAGTAAGATAGAGGGAGAGTAAGATAGAGGGAGAGGTGAGAGGGAGTAATGGTAGTAGTGTCAATTAATGGTTTAGAAAACCAACAAGTTCATAAATGAGACACTTGTGCAACATTTGAGTATCTTTATTGTGGAAACGTTTCGCCAGCCAGTGACTTCTTCAGTCCAATGCTGAGAAAGGTGGAAGATGAGGAGTTTAAGGCAATCAGTCCCTCAGCTTGGAGTCGATGTGTTGAGTCCAGCAGTTTTGATAAGAGTGCAGTGTACTGGACTGAACACTTCGACGCCAGGCTGACGAACTGATTACCTCAAACTCTTTATCTTCCACCTTTCTCTGTATTGGACTGAAGAAGCCACTGGCTGCCGAAACGTTTCCCCTAACAAAGATACCCAAATGTTGCACAAGTGTCTCATTTATCAATGGTGGTAGTGTTTTGTTTGTCAGAAATATATGAAAATATCTGCTGACTCTGATTTTAATTGTGTATTGACCTGCTCAGTGGAACTTTTGGTCACGTGACCGAGGCTTAACCCGGCAAGACAGCTATTGGATGAATAATGGTAAATGTTTCCTTTGTTTTGGACCACCCTGGCTTGATGGAAGACGGCCGGAGTGGTTAAGCAATAAAGGAGGACCAATGATATGTTTACAGTGTTGCTACTCTGGCGGCCCGGCCGTAAACCAGGCTTGACTGGTGTAAGTAAGTTTATTCAGGTATACACAAATACAGTTACATAGAATTATCATACATAGCAGCATATGTGTAGAGAACCTAGGATAACCCAAAAAAGTCAGACAGAGTGACTTATTTCCATTGGGGTCCTTTTACCTTATTATTATAATATGAAGGTTATAATATTTTCTTATTATTCTATAATGAAGATAACATCTTATTATCATACTAAAAAGACTATCTACTACACGAGGGTCATTAAGACTATCTACTACACGAGGGTCATTAAGACTACAATACGAGGGTCATTACTAGGAATAAGGTCAAATTTACTTTGTTATCCAGGTTGTTGCTGCTGGAGGCCCGCTGCCCCACATATCCATCACAGCCTGATTGATCTGGCACCTGATGAAGATACTTGTCCAGTTTCCTCTTGAAGACTTCAACAGTTGCCTCAGCAGTGTTACTGATAACTTTTGATAAGATGTTAAATAATGTGAGAACTAGTGTGTCCAGAGATTACTAACCTAAGGGGGATGATGTATGAAGAAAGACTAGAGGAATGTAACCGTCCAGGCTCTTATGGATATATGGGTCAGCGGGCCACCATCAGCAATAGCCTAGTTGACTAGCAAGTGCTAGACGAGCCTGGCCCATGGCCGGGCTCTGGGAGTAAATAAACTCTCTGAACTCATCAAAGGTAACAAAGCCGCTTAATAGAAGAACGAGGGAGATGAGAGCCATGATCACGACATACAGCATACTCAGAGGATGCAATAGAGCAACGGCAAATTATTTAAAAGGAGGGGACGAGGGGACAGATACCTGTGCTTTACCTGTGACTGGTTTCAAGGAGTTTTCTTACCCCCGTAGCCAGGCTTTCTTGTTCACCGACTGTTCAAGCAAGCAGTTCTTTTTCTTCCTCTCATGGTCCCGTCCCAGTCCCCTTCTATATATACTGGCTCCTTCAACTTAGTGTATTATTGTGACTTCTAAATGGCCAAGTTGGGTCGAAACGTCGTCATAAGCTTCTCTCTCCTGTGTGCGGGTTGTGTAAAGCAGTTGCTGGTTTAGAGCTTCAGCTTACCCCCCATCCCTTCCCTGCAGTCACAACCAGGCGAGTACAAGCCTAGGAAGCGTCTGACATTTTATGACGTAGTCGCTAAAGTTCAAACTTTTCCCAGACTCCCGTCTGGGAGAGACAATTTCCTTATGGTGTATTTATGAGGTTTAAAATCTATCTGCTACGCGGGGGGGGGGGGGGTTAAGGCTATATGTCACCTATACACCACTAGTCAAGGATATTTTAATAATAATAGTAATAATAATAATAGTAATAATAATAATAATAATAATAATAATAATAATAATAATAATAGTAATCCTTATTTCTACAAGTACATGATGCAACTTATACAGGTCATAGCTGGCCTCTCTGGTTATGTACAGCATTTCAGGCAACTTAGGTTAATCCTGTCCACCAGGATGCCACTCACACCAGTCGACTAACACCCAGGTACCTACTTACTGCTACGCGAACAAGCGGAACAGGTTATTGCAGTAAACTTTCAGTGTACATAAGCTAAGAGATACGCACCTCTCTGTACATATACACCGATACATATATACACGTCTCTATGTATGTACACTGAGATACACACCTCTCAGTGTATATGCAGTGATACATGTTTTTCTCAGTGTATATACAGAGGGAGAGGTGTGAGTGTGGTGTGGTGGTGGGGGGGGGGGAGGTGAAGACAGTTTGCATCACCAGGTGAAGCATTCCACTACATCCTCTCCAGGTAGGGAGGTCAGAGTGAAAGTGATGAGTGAGGGTCAGGTCACTTGGGGTGATAACCTTGCACTTCCCCATCGCTACACTCATCATTCATCCAGCCATTCATTCATTGAGTCAGAAACATCATTCTGATGTGGATTAAAGTCTGTCTACTACACGATGATCATTAAGGCTGCACGTAACCGCCAGACGAGAATATTTTAACCCTTAAAATAGGGGTTAAAGAAGATTCCTAGTGAGAGAGAGGGAGAGAGAGAGAGACCTGGTATGTCTGATGATCAATGATGGACAACTATGACGAGGCCCAGCTGGATGGATAATGAGAACTTTCAAAACGAGAGATGCCAAGCCCATGATGATCCTTTTCAAATCACTTGTTCTCTCTAGGCTGGAATACTGCTGTACATTAACATCTCCATACAAAGCAGGTGAAATCGCAGATCTAGAGAGTGTACAGAGATCCTTTACTGCACGTATAAGTTCTGTCAAGCACCTTAACTACTGGGAACGCTTGGAAGCACTTGACTTGTACTCGTTGGAACGCAGGAGGGAGAGATATATCATAATCTACACTTGGAAAATCTTGGAAGGAATGGTCCCAAATCTGCACACAGAAATCACTCCCTACGAAAGTAAAAGACTGGGCAGGCGATGCAAAATGCCGCCAATAAAAAGTAGGGGCGCCATTGGTACACTAAGAGAAAACACCATAAGTGTCCGGGGCCCAAAACTGTTCAACAGCCTCCCATCAAGCATTAGGGGAATTGCCAATAAACCCCTGGCTGCCTTCAAGAGAGAGCTGGACAGATACCTAAAGTCAGTGCCGGATCAGCCGGGTTGTGGCTCGTACGTCGGACTGCGTGCGGCCAGCAGTAACAGCCTAGTTGATCAGGCCCTGATCCATCGGGAGGCCTGGTCATGGACCGGGCCGCGGGGGCGTTGATCCCCGGAATAACCTCCAGGACCACCTGCTTGCAGTCTGTCCAGGCTTGAAGGGTGATACCATCTGGACGCTTTTGGCTGCCATCAATTCTGCATAGTTGGGGTGGCTCTCTTATTGTCGGGCATCCGGCTGTTGTGAGGCTTCTCTTGATAATATATATATATATATATATATATATATATATATATATATATATATATATATATATATATATATATATATATATGCAAACAATCGCAGACGGGCGATCTTAACTATGCAGGACAAGCCACTAGGGGGTGGAAATCTTTAGCTGAAGTACTTTCACACTTCTCAGTGCGTCATCGGGAGCTATGCAATGTTGCAAGGGAGCAACCAAAGCAGGGAGAGAGGTCTCAGACTAACGTAGGTGTCACCGGCCACGGCTCAAGTACTATTTTAAGGGACAATATATATTTTGCTGTTAAAAATCTAGAATGTTGGAAAATTTATTAAGAAGGAATTATTCTTTCATTATGCCATGAATTATATTGATTTTATTTGTGTTTGTACAGGTTGTGAGAGAGACGAGAGTGTGTCTGTTGCTGCTGCTGCTGCTGCTGGTGGCTGCTGCTGTGTCAGCTGAATGTGAGTACACCAGTCCTAGCGTCTACCCTCACGATAAACTGTTGACACACTCGCACACACACACACACACACACACACACACACACACACACACACATACACACACACACACACACAGAGCGGGACCAGGAGCTGTGAATCGACCCCTGCAACCACAAAAATAGGCGAGTACACGCACAGAAGAGGTACGATAAGGCTCTTGGAACAGGGAGAGAGTGGACCTAGCAGCGACAAACGAAGAGGCGGATCCACGAGTTGTGATTCGACCCCTGAAACTATAAATAGATAAGTACACACACACACACACACACACACCTTCCTTTGATATACCTTTGACTGCTTGTTACTCAGGGGCGTCACGAGTACACTTAGAGACAGCACAACAAGTGTCAGGGGCCCAAGACTGTTCAACTGCCTCCCAGCATACATAAGGGGGATTACCAATGAACCCCTGGCTGTCTTCAAGAAGGTACTGGACAGGCACCTAAAGTCAGCACCTGACCAGTCGCGTTGTGGTTCGTACGTTAGTTTGCGTGCGGCCAGCAGTAACAGCCTGATTGATCAGACCCTCATCCACCACGAGGCCTGGTCTCAGATCGGGCCGCGGGGGCGTTGACTCCGGAAACCCTCTCCAGGTATACTCCCACAGCTTGGCCCTTGGCTGGGATTGTCTAGTGTTTGACTGGTTAACTAGGCTGTTGCTAATGGTGGCCCGCTGCCTACGTGGAGTCTACCTGGAGGGTATTTAGGGGATCAACGCCACCGCGGCCCGGTCCATGACCAGGCCTCCTGGTGGATCAGGGCCTGATCAACTAGGCTGTTACTGCTGGGCGCACGTAGTCCAACGTATGAACCATAGCCCGGCTAATCCAGCACTGACTTCAGGGGTCTGTTGGTAATTTCCCTTATGGCTGGTGGGAGGCTGCTGAATAATGTTGGGTCCCGGACACTTATTATGTTTTCTCTTAGTATACTAATGGCGCCCTTACTTTTCATTGGAGGTATGTTGCATCGCCTGCCAAGTCTTTTGCTTTCGTAGGGAGTGATTTCTGTGTGCAGATTAGGGACCATTTCCTCTAGGATTTTTCAGGTGTAGACTATGATATATCTCTTTCGCCTGCGCTCCAATGAGTACAAGTCAAGTACTTCCAAGCATTCTCACTAGTTAAGGTGTTTAATGGAACTGATATGTGCAGTAAAGGTTCTCTGTACATTCTCAAGATCTGCGATTTCACCTGCCTTGAATGGATATGTTAATGTACAGCAGTATTCCAGCCTAGAGAGAACAAGTGATTTAAAAATGATCATTATTGGCTTGGCATCTCTTGTCTTGAATGTTCTCATTATCCATCCTATCATTTTCCTCGTAGATGTGATAGTGGTATTGTTGTGATCCTTGAAGGTGAGATCCTCAGACATTACCACTCCCAGGTCCTTCACATTACTGCTTTTCCACTGTTGTGTGATTCGAGTTTGTAATATACTCAGTTCTAGTTATTATTTCCTCCAGTTTTCCATAACGGAGTAGCTGGAATTTGTCTTCAGTGAACATCATATTGTTCTCTGTTGCCCACTGGTAAACTTGGTTTATATCTTGGAGCTTTGCCGTGTCCTCAGTGGATGACACTCTCATGCAGATTCTAGTATCGTCTGCAAAGAATGATACGATGCAATGGATTACATCTCTGTCTATATCTGATATGAGGATGACGAACAAGATGGGGGCGAGTACTGTGCCTTGTGGAACAGAGCTCTTCACTATGGCAGCTTCCGATTTAATTCTGTTTAGCACTTCTCTTTGTGTTCGATTGGTTAGAAAGTTGAACATTCATCTGCCCACTTTGCCAATTATTCCTTTCACGCGCATTTAGTGCTCTATTACACCATCATCGCACTTGTCAAAGACTTTTCCGAAATCTGTGTATACTACATCTGCATTTTGTTTTACATTGCATCCAAGACCATATCATATTGCTCCAGTAGTTGCGAGAGGCAGGCGCGACCTGCTCTAAACCCATGTTGCCCTGGATTGTGCAATTGTTGGGATTCCAAGTGGTTTCCAATCCCGCTTCTTAGAACTCTTTCAAAGATTTTTTATAATGTGGAACGTTAGAGCTATTGTTGTATAGTTCTTAGCTATTGCTTTGCTGCCACCTTTATGGAACATTAGAACATAAGAAAGAAGGAACACTGCAACAGGCCTACTGACCCATGCGGAGCAGGTCCATGTCCCCCCACCGGATTAGCCCAGTGGCCCACCCAGTCTGGTCACCTCCACTCATAGAAGGAGCACGGCACCAGACCCAGCAGCACAAGCTAGTCAGGTCCAACTCACACCCACTCATGTATTTATCTAACCTATTTTTAAAACTACACAATGTTTTAGCCTCAATAACTGTACTCGGGAGTTTGTTCCACTCATCCACAACTCTATTACCAAACCAGTGCTTTCCTATATCCTTCCTGAATCTGAATTTTTCCAACTTGAAACTATTGCTGCGACTCCTGTCTTGGCTGGAAATTTTCAACATGCTATTTACATCTCCTTTATTTATTCCTGTTTTCCATTTATACACCTCAATCATATCCCCCCTAATTCTACGCCTTTCGAGAGAGTGCATATTCAGGGCCCTTAGTCTATCCTCATAGGGAAAATTTCTGATACATGGGATCATCTTTGTCATCCTCCTTTGTACGTTATCCATTCTGTAATACGGTGACCAGAACTGAGCAGCATAGTCTAAATGAGGCCTAACCAAGGATATATAGAGTTGAAGAACAACCTGAGGACTTCTATTATTTATACTTCTAGATATGAAGCCAAGAATTCTGTTAGCTTTATTGCGAACACTAATACACTGTTGTCTTGGTTTTAGATTACTGCTGACCAGAACTCCTAAATCCTTTTCGTAATCAGTAGTATTAAGATCTACATTATTTAGTTTATATGTGGCATGGTTATTGTCCTGTCCAACATTTAGAACTTTGCATTTGTCTATATTAAACTGCATCTGCCACTTCTCCGACCACTGCATCAGTCTATTCAAATCTTCCTGGAGTGCTCTAATGTCCTCGTCAGAATGAATTCGACGGCCTATTTTGGTGTCATCAGCAAATTTGCTTATGTCGGTATTTATTCCTTCATCTATGTCGTTTATGTAAATTGTGAACAACAACGGGCCCAGCACTGACCCCTGAGGAACACCGCTTGTGACGTGCCCCCATTCTGATTTCTCCCCATTTATGCAAACTCTCTGCTGCCTATTTGTCAGCCATGCCTCTACCCTGGAAAAAATTTCTCCTATTCCATGTGCCTTAAGTTTCCTCAATATCCTCTGATGTGGAACTCTATCGAAAGCCTTACTGAAGTCCATATACACAATATCATATTCATTACCATGATCTACCTCCTCAAACACCTTAGTGAAAAAAGTTGGTAAATTCGTAAGACAAGAACGCCCCTTTGTAAAACCGTGTTGAGATTCATTAATCAATCTGTGCCTGTCAAGATGGCTACGAATTGCTTCGGCAATTATTGATTCCATAAATTTTCCCGCTATGGAGATAAGGCTTATTGGTCTATGCTTCGAAGCCAAGGACCTGTCACCTGCCTTGCAAATAGGTATTACATTTGCCATTTTCGACTTATTAGGCACTATGCCAGTTTGTAGTAATATGTTAAAAAGATTAGCCAAAGGTATGCTAAATTCCACTTTACATTTCTTTAACACCCTTGCAAACAGTTCATCAGGGCCTGGGGATTTGTTAGGTTTTAGTTTCTCTATTTGTCTGAGGACCATGTCACTAGTTACCTCAATCGTACATAGTGTATTATCGTCCTGTTCTACATAATTTATTATTTCAGGAATATCGCTAGTATTTTCCTGGGTGAGAACTGAGAGGAAGTAGGTATTTAGAATTTCACACATATCCTCATCACTGTCAGTGATCTGACCAGAGTTACTCTTACGTGGGCCAATCTTGTCCCTGATCTTACTTCTGTATACCTGAAAGAATCCTTTTGGGTTAGTCTTTGAATCCCTTGCGACCTTAGCCTCATAATCCCTTTTTACTTTTCTCATTACTTTCTTTATTTCTCTCTTTAATAGAATATATTGATTTCTTAACTGCCCATCCCCTCTTTTGATACACATATATATGCCTCTCTTTTGACCAATGAGATGTTTTAATCTATTGTTCATCCATTTGGGATCATTTTTGTTAGATTTAATTTCCCTACTCAGAACAAAAGTTGTCTGGGCAGCTAGAACTATGCTCTGAAAAACGTCATATTAGCAACCAAGATCACCTACCTGACCCATAGTCAGGACATCCCAATTTAGCCCACCCAGGTAATTTTTCAGTCCCATGAAGTCGGCCAAGCGAAAATCTGGGACAGAGATTTGATTGCAGTTATCTGGGTAATTCCATGATATATTGAAACTAAGTGATTTGTGATCACTTTCCCCAAGCTCACCATTAACCTCAAGATTATTAATTAGTGAATCTTTGTTGGCAAGAACCAAGTCAAGCAGATTGTTTCCTCTAGTTGGTTCTGTCACAACCTGTTCCAAAAAGCAGTCCTGAACCGTATCAAGAAAGTCACTAGACTCAAGATTTCCTGTCGTATTGTTCCAATCAATTTGTCTAAAGTTAAAATCTTCCATTATCACAACATTTTCATATCTAGATGCCTTATGAATTTCGTCCCATAACTGTTTACTGCCCTCCCTATCAAGATTTGGGGGCCTATAAATCACACCCAAAATTAATTTGTTACATCCCTTGAGAAACTGTAACCAAACAGATTCTGTGTTCGATGTTTCTAATCTTACATCATGTCTAAGACAACAATTTAAATTTTCTCTGACATACATCGCCACTCCACCATCCTTCCTGTTGGCCCTATCAGTATGGAATAGTTTATAACCCTGTATGTTGCATTCAGAAGGCATTTCTCTATCTTATAGGTTGAACCAGGTTTCTGTTATTCCAATACT